TACCCCCCACCCCCCCCCCCCCCCCCCTCCCCCCCCCCCCCCCCCCCCCCCCCCCACACGACGAGGACTTATTCGGGTGGACTCGGGGATTGACTCGCTTCACCATGGTGTGGGATTGCCCTCAATGTATTTATTCTCTCACTTGTGCACGTCTGGGCACTGGGTCACGTGTGCAATTCCACCTGCATTTACGGCACCGTCTCACTAGGATATCCTGCAGATAAATTTCCCTTTTTCACCCAATTTCTCGACTGACCGTGACTGATTCTTTTACTCGGGTGCAGTCGACGCCAGGCACGAGACGGCAACGGCAAACCACAACGAAAACAGATTCCCCGGCCTCTGGAGCGAGGAGGGACAATACTTGGCATCCGGTAGGCACTGATGACGGCACCTGGAAATCCCAGGGAACGCCTGGAAATCCCAGGGAATACCTGGAAATCTCAGGGAATACCTGGAATTCCCAGGGAACGCCTGGACATGACCACTATTTCTCTCCCCAGTGTTGGGCGACCCCCTGATCAAGGGCCTGACGGAGGTTTCGTCGAAGAAGCCGAACGACCCGGTCGGATTCCTGGCCAAATACCTGCACAGATACGCCGAGACCAAATCCCTATCGGCCAAGACGATCCAAGAGGTAACTCATCCTCGCCCCCCTTTCCTCGAGTTACCCTCTCCACAGGAACGATGACGAAATATTGAAAAAAGCAGGAGCCGATAGCCGAAGAGATCTACGCGGGTGATCAGGAACGCGGCCTGGGGAGCATTCCGGATGGGAACTTTGCGGATGGCCACACCTACACGCCCCCCAAGGACCTGGAATCAAGGCATCGGGTGAGTCTCACCGCTCGACTCAACCCGTGATCAGTCCCCGTGAAAATTTCTCCCTGTCTATCGAATTTGTCTTCCCTTTCCTGCATGCAGCTAAACCTAAAAAAAAATCCTGAGAGCACAAAAAAATCACGAATTTCTGACGAATCATATCCATTTTTCGTGTAGGACAAAGACGGCCAGACGATCCTGCACCAAGCGGCCGCGAGGCGCATGAACCGCACCGCGCTGGGAAAGCTGTTGCGGGAGTCCGGGATCAGCATCGCCGTGCGGGACAGCCAGTACCGAACGGCGCGGGACGTCGCCTTCGAGGCCGGACTCAGGGACAACGTCCAGGCCATCGACGACTACGTCGTGGAGCTCGCCCGCAGAGGTGAGTTTCGGGACCCGACGGGGGGGAGGGGGGGGGGGCGAGCGAGTCGGTAACCGCGCGGTATTCCGCTCAGGTGACCGGGAGGAGCTGTACCACCTGCTGATGGAGGGCTACGACCACATCATCGACGTCCAGGACGGCACGGGCCAGAACGTCCTGCTGGCCGCTCAGGGCACCGGAGAGGCCAAGGCGGTCCAGTTCCTCAGGGGCATCCCCCCTTTCCTGGTGAGGAACTTTCGCAACCGCAGAGTCGAGTAGCAGGAGCAAAAATGGGCCGAACTGAAACTCTGGTTTCTCCTTTGGGAACAGGAGAAGCGGAATCAGATCCACGCGGCGATCCGGAAGGGAAGCGCCAGGTACGTGAAGGACAACCTCCTCAACGCGTCCCTGGCCATATCGAAGAACTCCAACGGGAGGACGGCCCTCCACATCGCGACCTTGTGCGAGAACCTGGAGCTGATGACCCTCGTCGCCACGAAGTACCCCGAGACCGTCCACATCGGAGACAACGTAAGGAGCTAGGAGAATCTCATTAACGCTCCTCGAATGAGATTCCACCACCTCTCCCCTTTTATTTCGCAGCTGGGACGGAGCCCGCTGCACTACGTGATGGGATTGGATCGCGTGGACGCCATGGGACGGATCCTGGTCAAGGTCGGCGCTCGTCGACTCCCCGACATGGTACGGTGGAGTTCAAAACTTTTCTCGCTATAAGATACAGCGATGTTTTTATTTTCGCTTGCCCCATGCAGCTAGTCCGAGGTATCCAGCGCTTCATTGTCATGGGCCAGAAGAGGTAAAGTTTTGTGTCATCACAAAACGACCTGTGACTGAAAGACATGACATAACAAAACATAACCTGTCACGGACCTGTTTCCTTTTAACTCCCCACCTCCCGCCCCCGCGCCTGAGCGCCAGGATGTAATACCGGCACCTTTCGGGAAGGTCCCACACTCGGGATATGTTATAAGCACGAATTTCGCTATTAATTTTTTTTTAAAGCTTTTTTTTCGCAGATTCTAATCTCACGTATCGATTACTTTTCCTCCAAATTCAACTGGAATGGGTGAAAAACCTTGCGCTAGAAAATAATATTCCCCTTTCTAAGGGACTGGTCGTGTCATTGATGCGTTTAGGACCCCAGCCGTTACAAACTGGAGGGTGTTACAACGCTAAATCCATTATTTGCTTACATTTAACGCAATAAATTAAACAAGACAGCCAACCTGCGGTTGACACTATTTTTTTTAAATCAGTCATGACAGCTCGCGACATTCTCTATCATTAAATCCATATTTTCCCACCAACAAATCTAATTACATTTCAAACACCTGAAGTCTCCCTTTTTCCCCTGAACAGAAAGGGCGCATGCCGAGCTACTATTTCCTCAACAAGGACGAGATAGAGCAACTGAAGAACGAAGAGGAAGCCCTGCGAAAGTGAACTCTCAGGTGCCGCAAATTCGACTTTTACGAGCGCCTGACTCCCTTCTGTCGATGTCCCATCCCGAGCATTGCATGTGCCAATGACACGTTCAACTCTATGTGGTTGTTCTACCGTAGTGATGACTTATACAAAATGGGAAAATTCTTTTCAAGTAGTGTCTTTAGTTTTTTTTTTTCTTCCATCATAGAGAGCAGGGTCGTGAAAACGTGACAATATGAATATTCTAGAATAAAATGACCGATGTTCAAACGTCTGTCATTCATTGATCAAAACAACAATCATGCATCCACAAGTTCAAGGGATGCAAATCTGTTACTGAGATCACAATTGGCCTTGATTGTAACAACAGTTTCCTTCAACGAAGTTTCTTCGTTCTCGTGCTCCAAAGAGCTTTTATCCCCGGCAGCTTTTTTTCGCGGTCTCCGAGGCCTCCGGTAAACCGTCACGGGTACGTGAGAATCGAGGAACCCAACGGGAAGCAGATCCCTGAGCACGTTCAAGAGTCCAGCAAACACAGCAGACAAGGTTGGTGCATCCTGAAGCAAGCCGGTGCAGTAAGCCAACGGATCTCGCTTCAACTGCAGTTCGGTGGTGAGCGTGTACAAGAGGATGCCCTGGTAGAGGCAGGAGATGGGAGGCAATTTATACGGGGATCCCAAGATGGTGTTGAGGATGTGGGTGTAGAGAAGGCAGACCTGAAACGCAGAGAGTGCATGAATGATGTCCTTGTCGTAATAGCGATCGCTGGCTCGGACCTGTTCGCTCAGGCTGAAGAATCTGACAAGTTTCGTCTTAGCAACAATGCACTCGGTTTGTGGAACGGAGTCAATCAATGCATTTAGGTCTCTATGCAATTTTTCAGGAACCGGTAATGCCGAGCCATCATGTAAAGTCATAATTCTCTTGATGTTGCGGTCCTTGAAGCCACACCGCGATTCGATCACATACATGATCGTGACTCCCATCAAAATGCTGAGTAAATGCGATGGTGTGGGCTTCGATTCTGATTCTGTCTTCGCCCAGAAACCCAGCACCAAGAAATACAGAGTTAAATCCTCAGGCAGGTGAATGGGAGGTGGGTCTTCACACTTGAGCACCTTTTCTAGAATGGACTGCCCATCCTTGCTGGGCAATGCTTCCAGGGAAGACAACCGGGGCAGAGATGAGTCAAGCTTGAAAGGAGCGAATGGAAGCTTCCTGAAGACATTGGAATGAGGTCCCACTTTCACACGTCCGTAAACAGCCAGTGGCTCCAGTCCTCCCCCGTCTAGGGACACCAATATGTTCACGATTGCATTGAGAATGGGATGGGCTGTATGATGTACAGGCTCCAGATACTTCGACTCGATGATAGGCTTGAGGAAGAGCTGCCGACGGCACAAGACGTTGATTACTTCAGAAAGGAGCACTCTGTCTCGCAGTCGGTCAAGGAACCATAAGGGGACGGGATTGCCTAAAGATGTCATGATGGTAATGGGGGATTCTGTGATTTGTTGCTCATGTGGTTGAAACAGTTCTGGCATTCGAATATGAGTCGGGAGATTGTAGGCGAGTGAATTCCCTTGCAGAAGTTTCTGACATCTATCATGTTGCTTCTTCTGCATAGTCATGAAAACCTGCAGGTGACAAAAAAATAATTTACATGCCTGGAGACCGGCCAGAAACCGGGGTGCTTACCCTACCTGAGACAGAATTCCCAAATTACCCTTTCGATGGCCCCATCCACGGTCTTATTCCGGAGCCACTCCAGCAGGCCATGGATCTTCCTCTGCCCAAAGTTCTTCTTGGTCTGCTTTGAGACAGGAAGGTGAATCTGGCTGAAGAGCTTCTGAAACTCATTGCGGGAAACGTAGTCATTTCCGAGAAGTGCAGAAATCAAGGGGAAGTGATTTGGTGTCAAGCCAAACTTCTTCAAGAACTTCTCTGGACGATAAACCCTACTTTCCAGGTATGTATAGGATTTCCTCACATCATTACTGCAAAGAAGAGATTAAGGGAAACTTGAGATTGAGTTGAAGCCAAACAGCTACAAGCTATCTGCCTACATGCCCAATAAACTTACAAGCTATTTTAATGGTTAATAAAAACAGACATCTATTCAAGTTATAGGTGGTAGGGAATCAAGACATAAGTCACTAATAAAGGACAAACTATATCTACAAGAAAAAGATGGAGTGGAAAAATCAAATTACAACACTCAGCAATGAGAAAAAGGCATGAACTCACATGATGCCAACATGCAGGTGCTCAAGCTGCAACATCACCTCCGCAACACAACATGCCAGGATAGTGCTCAAAGCATGAACAGTGCACAGGTGAAAGGGTTTATGTGCATGCGCAAGAAGGATGGGACTATCATCTTATGAACGAAAGATGGTGCGTGATGCCAAAAAGTGTTAAGGATTCAGTCAGAGCAACACGTGAAAGCATTAAAGCACATTCCCCCTAGCGGCAAGCCAGGGCCCCATGTGAACTCCCACAACACACCATGACAATGCATATGCAAAATCAGACAAGCAGGGAGTCTCATAATGTTAAAAGCAATATTGGTGAACCAATAAAAAAAAAGCGATACCCAGCTCCAATTGCAGAGCAAAATGTAAAGAAATAAGCAGGATATCGGTAAATATGTGATGTTACAAAGCATTTTCAAAGAAAGGTATCTTAGTAAAGCTGAAGAAAAGGAGGGAAAAGCACGTGCATGACAGCTTCATATCCATTAAGGCAGAAAGAAGACATGCTGGCAATGGGGAGCAATTATTTGTCTGATGTATAGAATCTCTTGCTATTTATTGGGCAGAAGAATGTTTGATTTTCAATTCAATCCTTTCCCCATTAAATAAATGCTTCAAGCAACCAAAAATGAGGTGGTCAAAATTGAACAAAGAAACACAGTACATGAAAGTGCTGGTACGTGAACTTTTTACGCAAGATACTTATTTTGTGCGCAAGATGGTGGGACTATGACTAACCTGGTGCGGGTCTTGATGTCCATCTCGAGCGTGGAGAGTGGGACGCACTTCACTCCAAACACGAAGAAATCGGAGTCGTTGCTAAGCACGTAGCCATTCACTCTCAGGGCTAGGGCAGCAAGGGTTTCGTCGGCCTCAAACTCCGTCTGCGAGAAAGGAACCGAGAGTTCCTTCAGCACCGACACGAACACCATCTCTGCCAGGAGGGGCAGCAGCCGGGCTTTGCCCTGTGTGGTGGGGGAAAGCTGCAAGGCATTGTGCATCTTCTCTTTCAGGCGCTTCATCTGAGTGTCAAATTTCCAGCCGCTCTCATCGTAACTTCCATCGATGAGGACGAATGGAGTGATGGCACAGGCAGTCAGAGTGCCAAAAAACTCCTTCACAGTCTTCTCAAACTTGTCATATTCTCCACCAAATGCTGGGTTAGACCCCTTGGAAGTGTTGTACAAGTAGTACAATAAATTCCATCCATCAATAAGGAGGACACAATTGTGAAGGTCCTCTTTCACCAGGCAGTCCCCACATTGGGTCTCGATAAAAGTTTTCAAACCACGCACACCCATCGTGGCAACTATCTGAGCATGATACTGATATGTGGGGAGGCAACAGAAAGCCTGGAATATCAATATCAACAATCAACACAAACAATAGTAAGTACAGAACATCTCAGATGAGACAATGATTAAACAGGCAGAAAAATCACCCTTAGCTCTTGATAAAAGCAAAAAATACTCATGCCTATATCACACAATTGAGCTTGGCAATGCACTATTGAATTCATGAAAGTGATGATCCAGAAGGTCACAGACAAAGACTGGCAGCCAAAGCTACCACTGGACACCAGTTACAAGGACAGACAAAGCACAACTACTCATGACACTTTAGATGTTCCTCTAGCAATTGTGCAGTTCTATGAACTCATGGAAAGTAGAAAAGATAATCCAAATGAAGGTATCATACAGTACATGAATTCATTCTCAACAAGGACAAGCATGATGCTTGGGCTAGAACAGGAATCATGGAATTACTCAACATGCAAAAAAAATCAGCTTGAGCCATGAGCCACTTCATCCAAAATATGAAATGACCTTGAGGTTGACTTTGGAAGGAGAGGAGGAAAGGTTTTTCTTTCCTTTCATTAGAGTACTTTACCTCTTAAGTCTCTGTGCACAAGGCATTTATAGTCCTGCAAGCACACTGCAACCTAGGAGGGGAAACCAAACACCTTGATGAGTCCTGTGTCTTTGTTCCCACTGCGCGAGGACCCATCCCTGGCACTGTCCTTGTCATCGCATGCATAGGCCAAGAGGTGACGCTTGGGATGCCAAGCAACAGAGAAGACTGGCGCCTCGACAGGGATGTGCGTGACCTGTGCGCCGGATTCCGTGTCGGCAATGTCGATGTACAGGTCTTCCGAGGCAGATGCCAGGAGGCGACCATCATGGCTGAAACTGATGGTACGTACAGGCCAGTCTAGGCGAGAGAGAGTTCGCAAGCACACCAAATCCTGGGTGTCCCAGATGGATACCAGGGCATCGGCAGAGCCAACAGCAAACAGGTCACCTGTGGGAGAAAACTTGATGCAGATGCAGTGAGCCGGATGAGCATCAAGCACTCGAATGGGTTCCATGGAAGGGTAGGAGAGGATGTGGATCTGGCCCTGGCCACTGGTCAAGAAAAACTGCTTGTTGTCATTGCTCCATGAGATCTCATTCACTTCAAACTTGAACTGTTCATCTCGAATGATTTGGAACTTGCGAACATCTATGAAAGAGACCAGGTCCTCCTTGTTTCCAACAGCAATGGTCATGCCATCAGGTGACCAAGATATGTTGATATTTTCCCCTTTCGTGCTCACACAGGCCTGGCACTTCTGGGACCGAGCATCCCACACCCTCACTGTCTTGTCCCCACTTGCTGTTGCCAACAGTTCTGGATAGGTCTGATGCCAACATAGCGTGTCCACTGTCCCCTGGTGACCTCGACACGTGAAGTCTTTGGACAGCCGGTCGCGATCCATGCTGAGGATGCAGACAGTCTTGTCGTAGGATCCTGAGGCGAGCTTCCGGCCATCGCAGCTCCAATCAACGGAGTGCACCTTCTCAGAATGGGCTTGAGTGTCTCGGATACGAGAGTGAGTCTGGAAGTGGGCTTGGAGTTCCTCAAAACTCATCCTTTTAGACTCTGTTGCAGCAACCATTTTCACTTACTTGATTCAAAATCTGAAAGAGGAAAAACTTGTGCTTAGATCAAGATTGTGTATGTATGATTCACTTCTCAAGAACTGTTCTGAAATATGGCATATTTCTATAGTTTTGAAAGGAATCTATGACTGACTTCACTTCAAGTATTATCACTTCAAGCTTTGAATTTTTAAAGCCAGCCTGACACCTGATAGTGACAGCATTTCCCATACTACAATTGTTGTCAAACATTCCATTTGCTTTAAGAGAGCATTTGTATTCAGTCACAATCATCTCAATACTGCTTGCATGACTAAGTGACCTGAAGTGATGGAAATTGCATTATTCCTGTACTGTTCATCTCGAATGATCTGGAACTATTGGTACAATCTTCCATTTCCTCTGCCAAGAACTTGCATGGCATTTCCTATGTTCATGATCTGCTCATTTTCTCCAACTAATCACCTTCTTCCCATTTGTTGTCAACGAAAAATGAAGCAAAAGGGCAGCAGCCCTCATCAGAGACTGCATAGAGCATCAATTTTGAAATGAACTCTGTCCCAAAATAATTTGAACCCTTTTTCAAATTTTAGTCATTCGTAATTGGTTCAGACCTATCACTGTGTTTTTGAGGACTGATTAAGCCATCAAATGAGCACATGCATGCAAAGTTATAACAATATTCATTTGCTAGTTCCTGAAATACAGGAGATTATTCAGAGCGTACCAGCAGCAAGGGAGTGCGGCTAGAACTGTATGGGCTCATTATTCCAAATTCATTATTGTGCCTCGTACAGGATGACTGACGATGTGCATGACCAAGACAACTTCAATAACTTTCACTGTTTGACACTCAGATGATGTGCTTGAAATGCACCGTGTCAGCCAGTGAACAGTCACATGACATTGATTGAAACCGAAACACTGCATGGTTCGCATTCTCCTGCAACATGGGAACAGTGTGTTTCCACTCTGGCTGGCTGTGCCTGCGCTGAGTGCAGCCGGCAGAAATGGTCCGATGCAACCTGGCTTAGAATAAGCTGCTGCATCTACAAAATGAATGGATGGATTTTGATACAACTTCACAAGCATGTGCTCATTTGATGTCTTAGTCAGCCCTCAAAAGCGCATAGTGATAGTCTGAACCAATAACGAGAAGCTACAAATTGAAAAAGAGTTCAACATTTTTTGGGACAGAATGTAGTTTTCCTGGTTATGTTCCCTATATAGGGAAACATACAAGTTCAAGAAAAGTCTCTCTCCTTTTCTCCCAGTAAACTTCTCAATGGCAATTGTAATTAGTTAATCCTCAATGGGTGGAAGCAACTCAGTAAAAATTTATATTCAGTGTGAATATCAGTGGTGGGGTCAACCAATAATAATTGACATATGGGCTAGCTCCTAACACAACCAGGAATGGCCAAGTGCAAGTTTCCTGCCAGTGCCTTATGGGATGGTGGGTGGGTACTGACAAACAACTGGAACATGAGAGGATAAAAAGTTCTGCAAATGTCAAGATGAATGAATGAAAAAGAAATATTAATTGACTGGGAGATGAGGTGATTTTCTCAGACCCCAACCTGTTGCTCAAATGGCAACAGCCTCCTTAACTTCTTCATTTGTTACTGAAGGGAGTAAAAAACTTTGGGAGAAACCAAAGAAAATTTCTTTATTTCTTTTTTTCTGGCTTAAAGATTCAGTATTTGAGAAAAACAAAAAACAAGATCAATGCAAAAAAACTCAATAAAGTGTTCCATGTGAAGAATGGATTCAGGCATACAGGTGTAATGAATCCTAAATGAGATAAAGTATTTTCTCTTCATGGTTGTGGTTGATATCACATCAGATTGAAACAAATGAACATGGACTGATCAGGCATAAAGCAATGGAGCTCACAAAGGAGATTTGGAGCTGAACTGGATATGTGAACATGCCCTCATGACATGCAAAATACAGGCTGCTAGAAAATCACAGTTCACTGATGACTGATAGAATCATCAGAGGGCTGTTGACACCCCCTCTCCAGCAATGTTTAGCACCTTCTCACCGATCCCTTCACATAAATGAGCAAAATGTTCAAGAGATGAGGAAGTGAAGAATAATAAATATGATAATAAAACAGTCTGATATGATGGGACTGACCTTTTTCAGGTGAAAACTCTTCAAATTGGCCTAGTGAAAGAGTAGACTTCTCACGAAGGAACTCACTCTCCGCAGGAGAGAGATCCTCGCCGAGTCGACGAAGGGCTTCCAAGATCTCCACCTGCCAAACACAGCAACCTTGTCCAGCAAGCCTCAATTTTCTCAATGTAATATTCCTGGGAGGATGCCAACCTTCTGCTGCGAATATGCATCGGACGTGATGTGACCGCACTTGCACTCTCGCTCCAGATCTGCAAGCCTCAGCCTCAGCTGACCTGGCTGCCTCTTGCTGAACATGCGAATCACCTCGGGGGTCTTGAATGCATTACTGATGGCTGCTTGAATTGCCTACATCCATATTGGAAGAACTGTTGAAGTCTGTAGGGAATGAACAGCATATAAAAGAAAAACTAGAACTCTTACCAGCTGCACACTATTCATTTCGTCTATGAGGGTCATGTTTCCACTCATCATCTTCTGGAGAGAGGCTTTGAGTTCCTTGAATTGCTCCATCGTCTCTTGCCGCGTCTCTTCGTATTCCTCGGGGCTCAACTCGTCTCTGTAAACGGAACCGGCTTCCATGCAATTTCAATAGGCAAGCCTGGAGATCATCACATTGCTTCTATGTCTTCAAACCCACTCACTTGCATGTTTCCAGATCTGCAAGCTGCGAGATGAGTCGATCGACCTGCTTCTCGATGTTCTCACGCAGGAGCTCCGTCTCTTTCACACCGCGGGAAGCCATGCCAAAAGCGTCCCTGTTGGGACCTGAATCCTAAGTGTCTCTATAAACCATTCGGAGAAAACACTCCACAATAACAAATGGACCAATGACAATTCTTGCGCAAGCAAAGTCATGAATCTGGAAGCATGAGGAACCGGCAGGAAAAACCCTGTGAGTAGACACGAATGCCCACTCTTCCTCCATGTTTCAGTTCAGTCAGTTTGTTCTGAGTTCTACAAAGAAAAAAATCACTTTATTAGCTAGGCCAAAAGCAACTGAGACCATAAAAAGAGGACATCCACTGTATTGGTCCTTTCCGTATAAATAAAGTCGAAGATTAGACTAAACCTGTCACACAGAATAACAACATTCATGGACCTGTGCTTTCGTCTGTTCCACACCCTTTCAACTGACTAGGCCTACACAATCACCTGATGGCAATCAGTGAATGGATGGAATCCTGTCTTATTCCTGTTTCAGTGATGGCAGGAGGCTGTTACAAATGACAATTCTCATTAGCCATATTATGCCTAACAAAATGAGAAAGGAAGCAAAAAGTAGCTGGGATTCCTCAAGTCTATTGTGTAAGATGTGCACCAATTTGCTTGGAATTTTCAGTTCATTGGAGCCTGGAACTTAGCGGTTTTGTGATGCTGGGATTATCAAGAGGTAAATTCTAGTATATGACCCAGCACAATACCTACAAAGAGACAATACATGAGGAACTGTCACACCTGCTTTTCATTGAGTCTTACAATTCTCAGCTGAACCATTAAGATGATAAAACCAAACAAATCAAGACAGTCACCATGTCTTTGGTTCAGTTTTGGGTACCCTACAAAAAACTCATTTGCATCATTAAAAAATGTCACAGTTGTCCAAATCCCCAGCATTCTAGGGAAGTCAAAATGCTGGAATTGCATGGAATGGATTTTCCTGTTGCATACAAACAGTTGCAGAACGTTCGGGAGGTGAAATGCCAATCGGTATGAAAAGGTGAAATTGCTGGTATGATAGATAATTTTCCCACAGACTTTTAAAACACAATGACATTACAGTAAATGAGGTTGGATGCAGAATGTTCTCACAAAGGACCCCTAGAGTCCATCATTCTGCTTCCAGGGGTGTCATCGACCAACCTCCTCGTCGTGGCAAATCACTGCAGCCGTTTCGGCCGGAACAGACTCAACGTGCAGCACCTTCTGCGATCGGCACATCAGCACACGCGCTCCTTCGGCAAGAGATCATTTGGTTATCGCGGCAGGATTCTTCACACAAATGGCATCAACAGATATCACATGCAGACTCAGAGGCATCCATGATGAATACTACATACAGCATACTATATCACTTTCATGAGAGTAACCTCATCTCAGGAATATGACCTCTGGATCTGCATCACGATCCACTGCATTATGGAATGAGGGAGCCATGACATTTTTTAATCTAGGGGGGTAGTGGTGGGGAATCACTAAAGCGTACATCCAAAGAGTAACTCGCAAATTCAAGGAGACAATAAAATGTCGTACTAATGCAGAAAGGAAACATTACAGAACACACAACGATGGCATTGGGAATATATGGTACAAGGATACTGTGCGAGGAATAGGAAAAACGGTGACTAGGGCTGCGACTATGGACCCAAATGGTTTCAGGTGTACGGTACATCACAGTATATAAGCAAAGGGAAATGCCAGTGCTATAACATCAGCAGGGAATGCTCTCACGCCGCACTCAACCGACACGCCACGAGATCACACCTCGTAATGCAGATAACCGCCGGAGGTCTCGTTGAAGCTGTCGTAGTACTCCCAGTCCTCACCGAGCTTCCTGAAGAACGTCTTCTGCCCCATGTACGAGGAGCTGTCGAAGCCGAAGACGACGCCGAGGATGATGTTGAAGGCACTGGCGTCGTACCAGTGGCAGCCCGAGTAGCGGAACTGCGGCTTCTTGTCGAAGCGGCACCCGTACGACTGCGCCCCGATCGGGGCGATGCACGCCGGCGTGAGGGCGCACTGCACCCAAGGCAGCATCAACTGGGAATGGATCAGCTGGATGTTGAAGAGAACGAGCACGGACGTCTCGACGAGATGGTGAAAGAAGAAAAGCTCTTGAGACGTCTGGAAGAAGTGGAACATGTTCGGGTGCGTCACGGCGGACGTCGGCAACAGGTTGCCCCAGGCGACCAGACCGACTTTCTTGGCGATCTTCACGAACGGTTCAAGGTGGTCGGTCACGAGCCGATAGTCCACGTCCATCCAGAGAATGGCCCCCACGTCATTTAGCACTTGCTACACGGAATCAGAAGGCAACAAATACAGCATTCCCTGTAATTATTTATTCTTTATTTATAATTTTAATAATTAATAAAAAAGATCCTATGTTACCCACCTGTATGATGAGAGGACGGAATGTATGAAACTTCAGTGTCTTCACGTGACTCGGGAACTGCTTATACGGAAACTTGACAATGGAACAGTGACTAGACTTCCGGGTGCCGTTGCACACTTCCAGCAACTGAACCAGACCGAGAATAAGAAGAAAAAAAATTACACGTTACATTACGCTATCAAAACACCAACGCTTTCCAAAAAATTACAATTGCGATGCTTACAGTTTCACTTTCTGACCTCCCCAAGCCGAGGTCGTACAGAAGGATGTGGTATCCAGGCACAAAATGATGAACATTCTTCACAAATCCCAAGGCTTTTATACCTTCACCCGAAGAAGCCTGAATGAAAAAGCAAAGACATTTGTTTAGTTTTCAATTAACTGACACGGCCCCAAATGTTCAATAGCATTTCAGTCTCCTGGCCTTTTTAGCGCCACTCAACCAATGCATTTGGCTCGACCAACAGCGAGCTTGGCTCCTGTGGCGGGAGACCCGAGTTCGAAACCAACGACCTCATGCGTTTATGACCGAGAGCAAGCGAGTAAAAACCCCCCGCACATTTCCCGAGGTTCTTTAACGTCCACGTCCAGGGAAGTGGACGCTAAAGAACCCCGGCGGTGAAGGCCCAACCCGGGTAGATTATCCTCGGAGTAACCGTGAAGTAATAAGGCCGAGTCTCCCGAGCTTGGAGGTTACTCGTGTTGGTTGACGTTACCCTATCGTTGCGTATCGTCGCCTACCGTGACACTTGAAATTTGTCCACCATTAACCCGGGGGATTTCCTCATTTTCTGATGCGTCCCGTTTGCAGAGTCGGTCACCTTCATGATTGAAATTCTTTGCACCGTTTTTCGGAAGAAGCATTCATCAACGTCTGCTACACGCAAAACGCCGCCGCGGGAGTCGCACAGACAACGATTTCCAATGACCCTTACACGCCCTAGTAATGTTTCGTTTCCTTGAAAAATATAAATCGGCTATAAGGTAGTTTCCTTTTTTTTTCCCCTTCAGGCTCAGGGTTTTTCCTGCGGGATAGGGGGAATCCTTTTCATCATGGCGGGATAAGCCAGGTGTATCGGCCAGGGGTCGCGTTTTGCAACCCCTGGCCAATACACTTGTCTCGCACACCGCACGAATTCACCAAGGAATAGACATGGCTAAAGGAGAAACGAGACAAAGGAGCTCTGCATGCGACGACTGAGAGACATGAATCATCGATGTCCTGCAGCTGTTCCTATCCTGCATCCAGCCAACCCGACCACTTCCCGGGACATTCGATACGTCCGGATTGGGGGCCAAATATCCGACGGAGAGCGAGAGAGGAAAGCGAAAATGAGAAACCCGATCTGGCGAGACAAAGAAGAAAGCAAGATGGGAAGTGGCGAGAAGGAAGTATCCTTTCCTTTCCGCACAGAGTCCTCCACAGCGATGATTGTTAACCTTATCTTATCGACCCACGCGATGATCCCGCCTATCTCCATCGGAGGCAGCCGAGCCCAACATACAGCATTAGTATGGAGCACAGGGATGTCACGCACAGGAAACTCCTTCCGAGGAGTCTCGCTGTGGCCCCCATGCAAGTGTCTTCCAGTCCAACTCCCAGCCCTCACACGAGGGGAGAATCTCCCTGGGAGCTCGGACCCGTTTCAACTTGCTTCCTGCCCCATTGCCAACTTGCCCCATTCCCTGCTCCCTCATCTTCCGACCCCTGAAGCTTTTTTGGCTTTTAAGGTAATGACTGCCTTGCCTAGATAGGACACGAGAGGGAATGAATTATTAAATTGCCTTTAAAAAAAAAGTAGAAGCGATTGCTAGCACGAAGATCTGGCTCCAGTTCCACCAGAATCCGTGTGAATACGTTCTCGGATGTCCCGGAACAGGCTCCTTCACTTTCACTCGACAGAAATAAGACAGCGAAAGAATTGTCTAGTTTTTTTTCTGCCGTTTAATACTAATAGTGCGCACGGCTCCTCGCCCTCCCATTACAAGTGTCACCAGATTAATTTGTTTCGAATGGAGCCAGATGAGACCATCTTCATGTATTCATGTCCACGAAAAGCACACAAATCAAAAGGCGGAAAGCATCTTACGGCGGTTACAATCGGAGGTAACGTGATATTCGTCCATGAATCGTTTGGGTAAATCCTGGGATGCTTCACGAATCCGAGCAGCTCCAACACTTCCGGATCGGCGGTGAGCTGCTCCTGAAGGACATCCTGTAGGTTCTCCTGCAGCAAATCATTTTTAAAAAAATGTTTAACCCTCAAAAGCCCAAACGATACATTACGGCACAGCCAAAAGGTCTCACTTTGAGAGTCTTGAGGTTATTGAGTTGCTTGTGCGTCTCCGACACGATGTTCTGAATCGTCGGCCGCTGATTGCTGAAGAGAATCAGGATGGAGCTTGTGATAACAAAGCACGTCAGGAGGAGGATGAACGTCTTGGTCCTCATCACTCACTGCCACCGAGTCCCCGTCTTTCATCACTGGCCGCACCAGAACTCACCGCCACTGGCCAACCCGGATCGAGACGGGGCTTTTGGGCGCGAGCCCATTGGCAATCCGTGCATTTGCCTGTCGAGAGAGCACAGAGGCGACTGGAAAACGATATGACACGATGACACCGACAAGTGATTAAGTTTTACCTGTTACCTCAGCTATCAAACCACCGTGAATCCTTCCGCCATAGTATATAATAGTCATATAAGGAGATCTATTGAGTAATCTATGGTAACCTATTGCGAAGACTTCTACAAGCCATCACGAATGAATCACTTCCAAACAACAAAAATCACTTGAAAATAAGGTAGGTAGGGGTCCTAAACAAATAAGTGGTCACAGCCTAGAGCCTTGCACGGGCCAATACAGTCAAACTTCGCGGTACGACCTGGCCCGAAAAAAAATTCAACCTATGTTGAATTTTTCCAGCTTACTTTATTATTTCTGATTGAACGATGTTCTTTAATCACGTGACCGGCCAGGAATGACTCGGGAACCATAATTGACCTCGGCCGTTCGACCCCAAGATGACACTGGCATTTCCATTCCATGTTTATGAAACGGGATATTACCTCGCGTGAGAAATTTTCCTGAGGGGCCAAATGGCCTCCCGTCTCAGATTCTGCTTGTCTTTATTTACTTTCTCAGTTACATATTAAATCCTTAACAAGCAAAAAAAAAAAACAAAAGAAAACGTCGGCAACTTAAGCATAGCTAATGGAAAATTGAGATGCTAGTCATGAAATACACTTGCTTTTCGACGGAAAACACCACTTTCAAAGTCCACAACAAAGGGTTGAAAAGTTTCAAAAAGAAAATTTTCCCCATTTAGGCTTCTTCAAAAGTAAATGTTTCTACTATTCCCCTTTAATTAATTTCTTGCCACCTTAGAACGTTATAAGGGTTAGCTGACCCCCTCAACCGATTGGCCTTTTTCATCCATTTCCAAAAATTCGGTTTCGACATACCACTGAGATACATCCCCCCCTCCCCCTCCTCCCCCATTCAAGACAAAAGGAATTCAGGAATGGGATCGGGAAGTCCTTTCAACCTTGGCAGCAACGAAATAAAGAAGCACGTGAGGTTCTTTCTTCTCTCTTTTTCGCCGTGCTTCCTGTGTTTTTTTTTCCCCCCATTTCCCTCCAGACACGGAAATTGTGAAATTGCCATTCCCTTTTTTGTCTGGCCTGACTCCAGCAGCAGTTTTTGCTGACTCCCGATCGATGTCACAGGAATCGGGAGGGAAATGGTGCTATCACGCTGCCCTTCTCCCTTTTTTTCCTCCCCTCCATTCTTTCTCACTTAATGACAGGTTATTTCCTGACTCACCCGCGGAGTCTCGTTAGGGCTCTCAAGGACTATATACAGAGAGCGATTCATTCTCTTATCCTTCGACGTAAGCCATTTGTTAGAGGGGAAACATCCGACCGAGCTATAAGGAGACAACTTCGGTTCATTCCATCAGTCGTCACTGATAGATTCCCCCCATATGACCGAGAAAAGGGAAAGGAGAGCACCTGAGAACGTAGAAAGACCACATGAGATGCAAAGCTCCATTCGATCCAGCAAAAACAAATCAAAACCGTCTCCGCGATCCAACCGCCACCTACCTAGGAATCGGAACGCACGCCCGACCCGAAAACATGAGTCGAAAAAGCATTCCCATTCCCTCCTTCCCTACAATACGCCAACGCAAACCGGATATTTCGCCAACCATCACGGGAAAGGTAAAGGCGGAAGGGCGTTCGAGTGCATCCTCCTCCATGATGCAGATGCAAAACTCCAGTTTCTTTTTTTGGACTCGGTTGTTTTACAGGATGGCTTGTTTTGGCTAACAACTAATGAATCGACAGGAAATTAGGCTGCTATTGGAAACTTAACCAAATGAGCATTTTCAAGCATTTTAAAACCTCCCATAAACCTTCTCACTCTTGGAACCACAATTTTCCCACGGCATTTTAAAAGCTTTCATTGAGGAAAGCTTCAATTTGTGTAACTTCAATACTCTGTAAATTCTAGAGCTAACATTAAAATATTCAAAATATAAAAGAGCTTAAAAAAATTAAAGTAGATTAGTCTGTGTACGAAACGCCCTTTCACATGCAGTGACTTTAATTTGAGGTAAAAGGCTGACCACAAAAGGAGTTCTAGCATTCAATGGCATCATGTAAAGTCATAAGCATTCAAGCATTCTAGCATTCAACACCCCAAAGCACCCAGCTTGCAAAGCTCACCCTAGCAACTCCCTCTCCCATCCACCATGTCTAGCACCAATCACTCAAATCAGTCTTAATCATATCACTTTTCCCATCTCCTTTTGAATTTTCTAGTTGTGCTTATACAATGATGCAGGTATTAAAAAAAAAAAAGCAGAAAATGGAGACAGTGCTTGCATGTTATTCAGAGGGGGAGGGAAAAAATTTGGCACATTCTAGGAGAGGGCAGAGAAAAACCAGTTTAAAAACTACAAGTCTAGGGTATACAGGATGATAGGGGGAGGGAATGAAAATAGAGGAAAGCAAACCATTAGGAAGGAGAGTGGTTACATAGGTGAACATTATTATTCATAAATGAAAGTTGTCTTTTTGGAATATACATAGAAAATGAAGGCTTGCACAGGGGTGTCTCAAACAGAAAAACATGAGTGAAAATATGTGCTGCTTTCATTTGTAAATTTACATGTTTTCAGGAGATATTTCCTGAAGCTTATCTTTAATTGTATCTCAAATGTCAATACTTTTTATTTCATTTGACAAGGATTTGTAATATCTTCCTGCAGCAGCCATAATTGATCTATAATCATAATTAGTTCTTGCTTACCATGTGCTAATGTTGATACAACTTGAATGTTTTATTCCATATAATATACATAGTGATTTCAAATTTTTGTTACCCCTCTTCAGCTTTCAATATGGTACAATAATATTTAGGATGTCCCAAAAAGAAATACATTCTTTCTCTGAGATGAAGACTGCTCAAAACTTTCATGGTTTGGTTAATTGCTGTTTGAATTTTATGGGTATGGGTTTTCACTGCTTGCCCCAAATTTACCAGACTGTAGTTTATGAGTTCATGCACTATTCCAAATTACATTTATCCAATACCCATTTGGACAGCCAATCCCTGACTTTATACATAGGCCTAATACTATCACAGAAAGCTACCTTTTCATGCTACATTTTGAACATACGATTTCCAAATGATTCTATAGCTTGACAACATACTTACCTAGATTTATTAATTGAGTTTAAATGCCATGGTCTTGTCGTGTGTGATTGTCCAAAAATGAGAATTTAGGATATTTTCACATTTTCAGATGACATATTGGTTGCCTGAAAATTAACTTATTGGCGACAAGCAATTTTATCAAAATATTCACTTCACAACAGTTGGCATTGCTATGGAAGTTGGACCAAAAGCAAAAATGCTGGAGTCACCAGTAAGTGAATGTCTCCTGCTGATAAGGTACCATCAATGTCATTTATAAATAGGAGAAAAGCAGTGGACTCAAAATGGTACATGTACTACACTATGAACAAAGAATTGTACCTCCTTGCAGTGGTCCCCATATATACAAGGGCACGGCAGTGAAAGGATTAATTTTCATGAAATTACTTCTTGCCTTCAACAAATCAATGACTGATATTAGCTCATACCAGACTGAGGTCATTTATGAGAACTACCTAGAATGTTGCAATAATAAAATCCCTATGCTTTCATCATGTCATGAACAATTAATTCAAGCAACTACCCCAAATATTTTTTCCATCATACTACCCTTAGTTTCAACTCTGAAATTGGAATACCTGAAGTCATGCTTGGCTGCCAATATGGAGGAATCAATCATGCTAGTCATATGCAACCATAGCAGAGCAGCAAATATATATTTTATGTTTTTCATGCATATGAAAACAGACAATGAGAACAAATATCTGCAAAGAATACAGGTCTTTTCTAATATTGAACATGCACAACAAACAATTCATGCCTAATTCACAAGATATTATTCATAGGGCCCACTATCCTACATGACAGCACAAATTAATTTCCTTAGAAAGTAATGGATTATCGTACACAACTTCAAGTCACATGTAAGCCTAGGCTGGAAACGGGACTGAGGTAAGTCTTAAGAAACTTCAAGCTTAGAAAAGTATATTATGAACTTTGAAGCTTTAGTACAACTGAACCCTAGATTTCCGCTTTGATGACCCTAATTTGGGATTCACCCCTCTTATCACATCCCCTCCAAAAGTCTGCAATGCCAGCAAATTCTCCTTAGCAGGCCATAATGCAACCTGTATGAATTGAAAGATGTATTTTCTGCAGATGGCAATGCAAGTAAAACTAGGAAGAACTCCCATTAACTTTTAAAAAATCTTACTTCTGAAGTTTCTTTTTTCAGCACATCGGGGAAATCATTTTATTTTGACTGTCAAATGACATTGAAACACCAGTTCTCAGTGTAGGTCCTGAAGTCATTTTCATACTTGATCAGGATGTGTTTCAAACATGATCTACTTCATATACATTATCTGCCACATATGTGATTATACATGCCTAATTAAGCACAAAATAGGCATACTACACTCATAGAAACATCAATGCTCATATACATTGGCTGCTCCAAATCTTCATCTGTGCTTCTACTTACCTGTGACTGATGTAAGGCCCTGCTATACATATGGTAGAATACCTAGTTTCATTAGCACTATGAAACCAGACATATTTTCCCATTTATTTTCTAGTCTACTTCACATGGTACCGTACATGCCTTTTCTCCATGGGTAGCTAAACCCTCAGATGCCTCCACTCCCAGGTAGAAAAATATCCAACATGCAAGAGCTCCTTTGAAACTTGGGAGAGCCAGAAATTGCAGTATGCTACCTTGAGATGGCCATCAATGCCACCAAAGAGAACTTTACACATACTTTTGAATGGCTTTGAATGGGGTCAAACTCGATTAGGCTTGGGACTGGATAGAAGCCATTGGAGACGATTAGGGGCCACAATAAAAATCAAACCCCTCATCTTTCATGCAAACAGGAAGAAATTTGCAGTACTTTTCTGCAACCAACAATTGAAGAAGACTTCGTAGGCCACAAAAG